TGTGGTTTTGTTTTCCATCAGTGTCGTTTGGTTCAATAGTGCAAAATTTAACGGAGATCAGCGCGGATCGTTGCTGGCGATACGGATTCCGTGTTTTGTGCGTTGCTCTCTGCGGAATGAACTAAGCACAATATATTATTAGAAAGTTCAACGAGAGGAAAGGAAAAAAAAAAAAAACGCACGATACATCTGAACATTAAGACCGGAGTCTTTATCAGCGAATGAAAGAAAATAAATCAGAAGGTACTGCTCCAAACATGGGAGTCACCTCCTAGACTAGAGGTACCGTAGATTCAACAATTTTTACTATCGCTCCTTGGTGGAGCTGGGCGGGGAGAGAGGAAGTGGCGGGCTATTAAGTTGACACGTTTAATTGTGGGTATTTATAATTACAGTAGTAATTCTGATAGACAACCAAACAGCCAAAAACAAAGAAAGAATTTATAATATGCTTTGGCAAAGTATCTGCATTTTTTTTTTTTTAAATATTTTAACAAAATATTGAATTCTACATTGTATAGTTTTAAAACCAAGTTTTGTCTTTTCAGTTTTAATGTTACTTCAGTTTTTACTTAGACAAGTGAAAGTTTGGAGAACCAATAAAGTCATGTAACGAAAGTTTAATGCATTTGAAAAGAAATGCCTGAGGGAAAGTGAGGAACATAAAATGATATGAATTCAAGAGGAGAGAAGAAATACCTAGGCAACCACTAACATTAAAAAGTATAAGACGGAGAAGATAGTAATATACTGGACACTTTCAGAGAAGAAACAAGCAACAAATAACCAAATCGGCATTGACAATTCCATTTCCTTTGAAGAAAAAAAAATCAAAAACTCAACCATGTTCAACTTGCTGCTAGCTAGCCGAAGCTGCCAACAGTTTCCGGCTATATTTGTGGTCTTGTTTATTTGCACCACTTTCATGGCTAAAGTTGTGGTATTTGGGCCTTCTCTGGGCTTAATGCTTCTTTCCTCCACGTCAGACAGTCATCGTTTGTAGTTTAACAATTCTGATTATTTCACTCTGCCGAAAAATACTGAAAACAGTTTAAGCATTAACAAGGGGGGAGGGGGAGGGAGAGAAGGTCCAAGAGAAACCCTGCGGTGAACGTTGACGAGAGAAGCCAAAGGTGCTGGCTGGACTGGCTTCTATCCCTGATATGGAAGTATTTGTGTAGGAGAAGACGGAATGGAACATGCAGTGATACAACAAGACAATGAGTAAATCAGTTTAAGGACAAACTGTTCTATTGTCATCCTTTACCAATCGTTGTCGGAGGACAAAGTGTTTTGTTGACGTGTTTGATTGCCCATTGTTGGAGTGACAAACTATTTCACTATAATATTTTAATAACTATTGTTTGCGGGATCGCTTATTATATCACATTTTGTTGTAAATATTTTGTAGATAAACTGTTCAACTGTCATGTTTAGGGACTCTTGTTGGAGAAAGACAAGTTTTGACTGTCATGTTTTGCTCTCAGTTGCTGGAAAGATAAACTGTTTCAATGTCATTTTACGTTGCCTATTGTTTGAGGGATATACCATTAAATGACATGTCCTGCTGTCAAAGTTTTAGGGAAAAACTATCTTCCCGTCGTTATTTACTGTTGAGTTTTGGGGAACAAACTATTCCACTGATATGATGTACTTTCAATGTTTCAGGAACAAAATATTATATTGATGTGATTCACTATCCAATGTTTGAGGGATAAACTATTCTACCGTCGTGATATATTGTTCAGTGTTTGAGCGACAAACTATTCTACCGTCGTGATATATTGTTCAGTGTTTGAGCGACAAACTATTCTACCGTCGTGATATATTGTTCAGTGATTGAGCGACAAACTATTCTACCGTCGTGATATATTGTTCAGTGTTTGAGCGACAAACTATTCTACCGTCGTCATATATTGTTCAGTGTTTGAGCGACAAACTATTCTGCCGACGTAATTAATTGTCCAATGTCTGAGGGACAAACTATTTTACTAACGTGATTGACTTTTTAATGTTCGATGGACAAACTATTCTACTGGCATGTGTGTTGTTTTAGGAATATATTGTTACACTGACATATTCAAATGGAACACATTTGTTCCGACTTGCAGATTCAGTCAATGAAGGATCATTGTAAGGACAGTGATGTACTGTTGCTGCTGAAGAAGGAGAAGAAGCGACATTCTTTCCAGGATTGCATCCTACGAGGTAGGTTATTGAATTGTTGTTGTCGATGCTTTAACTATTTCAGGACAAGAAAACTCACTAGACGGCGACTGACTATTCCATACATTGTTTCTTTACTTCCAGTGTCACAGGTCTATATTAACACAAACTGACAAGGAGTTACTGGGACTAATTGTCTCATTTCGTATTGTTTTTAACTCAACAAACACTATTATTGTATTCTTTGATATCGGTCCAGTTGTAAAAACAGTGTAATGGGGAAGATATCTAATATGTTTCTTTGTAGGGTAAATATTTAATTAAATAGCCTTTTAATTAAATAGTAAAACAGTCATTTCCATACCGTAAATCTGTATGTTTCCACAGTTCTCACTTCAACTCCTTTATATCACAAGGTTTTAAGTGTAAAGGCGATCAGTACTTTGGTTTCAAGGGTTAAACACAGACACTGTAAGATAGCCCAGGTCAAAAGGGTTTAGCAGAGCCACCATGGAACAGTTCTGGTCTAAATGGTTTAACTGAGACACTATGGAACAGCTCTGGTCTAAAGGGTTTACCAGAGACACCATGGTACAGTTCTGGTCAAACGGGTTTACCAGCCACCATGGAACAGTTCTGGTCTAAATGGTTTAACTGAGACACTATGGAACAGCTCTGGTCTAAAGGGTTTACCAGAGACATTATGGAACAGTTCTGGTCTAAAGGGTTTACCAGAGACACTATGGAACAGTTCTGGTCTAAAGGGTTTACCAGAGACATTATGGGACAGTTCTGGTCTAAAGGGTTTACCAGAGACACTATGAAACAGTTTTGGTCTAAAGGGTTTATCAGAGACACTATGGAACAGTTCTGGTCTAAAGGGTTTACCAGAGACACTATGGAACAGTTCTGGTCTAAAGGGTATCAGAGATACTGTGGAACAGTTCTGGTCTGAAGGGTTTATCAGAGACACTATGGAACAGTTCTGGTCTGAAGGGTTTACCAGAGACACTATGGAACAGTTCTGGTCTAAAGGGTTTACCAGAGACACCATGGAACAGTTCTGGTCTGAATGGTTTATCAGAGACACTATGGAACAGTTCTGGCCTGAAGGGTTTACCAGAGACACTATGGAACAGTTCTTGTCTGAAGGGTTTACCAGAGACACCATAGAACAGTTTTGGTCTGAAGGGTTTACCAGAGACATTTTGGAACAGTTCTGGTCTAAAGGGTTTAACTGAGACACTACGGAACAGCTCTGGTCTAAAGGGTTTACCAGAGACACCATGGTACAGTTCTGGTCAAACAGGTTTACCAGCCACCATGGAACAGTTCTGGTCTAAATGGTTTAACTGAGACACTATGGAACAGCTCTGGTCTAAAGGGTTTACCAGAGACATTATGGAACAGTTCTGGTCTAAAGGGTTTACCAGAGACACTATGGAACAGTTCTGGTCTAAAGGGTTTACCAGAGACATTATGGGACAGTTCTGGTCTAAAGGGTTTACCAGAGACACTATGGAACAGTTTTGGTCTAAAGGGTTTATCAGAGACACTATGGAACAGTTCTGGTCTAAAGGGTTTACCAGAGACACTATGGAACAGTTCTGGTCTAAAGGGTATCAGAGATACTGTGGAACAGTTCTGGTCTGAAGGGTTTATCAGAGACACTATGGAACAGTTCTGGTCTGAAGGGTTTACCAGAGACACTATGGAACAGTTCTGGTCTAAAGGGTTTACCAGAGACACCATGGAACAGTTCTGGTCTGAAGGGTTTATCAGAGACACTATGGAACAGTTCTGGTCTGAAGGGTTTACCAGAGACACTATTGAACAGTTCTTGTCTGAAGGGTTTACCAGAGACACCATAGAACAGTTTTGGTCTGAAGGGTTTACCAGAGACATTTTGGAACAGTTCTGGTCTAAAGGGTTTAACTGAGACACTACGGAACAGCTCTGGTCTTAATGGATTTAATAGAGACAATATGAAACATCTCTGGCTTGAAGGGTTAAACGGAGAAACTATTAACAGCTCTTGTCTGAAAAGTTTAACAAAATGTTGTTAAAAAAAAAATATTATATCAAAGTTTAACACCATGGAACAGCTGTGGTCTGAAGAGCTTAGCAGAGACACTATGGAACAGCTCTGGTTTGAAAGGCTGAAGAGAGACATTATGAACAGCTTTGGTCTGAAGGGTTTGACAGAGACACTATTAACAGCTCTTGTCTGAAAGGTTTAACAGAGACATTATGGAACAGCTCTGGTCTGAAGGGTTTAACAGAGACATTATGGAACAGCTCAGGTCTGAAGGGTTTAACAGAGACATTATGGAACAGCTCTGGTCTGAAGGGTTTAACAGAGACATTATGGAAAAGCTCTGGTCTGAAGGGTTTAACAGAGACAATATGCAACAGCTCTGGTATAAAGGGTTTAACAGAGACACTATGTGACATCTTTAGTCTGAAGGATTTAACACCACCACCTTTAAGTACCTCCACTGGACATCATCATTAACTACACCACTACTAACTACCACTACTAACTATCATCACTAACTACCACTACTAACCACCATCACTAGCTGCTCTATAACTAGCAACCATATCTTACTATTGCCACCACTGACTACCACCATGAACTACCAGCCACAACTGACTAGCCTCACTAACCACCACTACTAACCACCATCAATAACCACCATTATTAACCACCACCACCACCACTACTACTACCACCATTACTATCACACTAACTAACACTACTAAAAATCATCAGCAACTACCACCATCACCACTAACTACTACCACTACAATCATCTACATCTGCAGCCACAATGCCAGTGACAGCATTGGTCAAGCAGACGTGTGCAGGTTGTCTGACCCCGATCAGAGACCGATACGTGCTGAATGTCATGAACGAGTGCTGGCACGAAAGCTGCCTCCAGTGTGAGCTCTGTCGAGTGCCATTGACCGGCTCCTGCTTCTCTTGTGGCGGGAAATTCTACTGCAAACATGACTATGAACAGTAAGTATGTTGTGGTAATCGTCTGTGTGTCTGTCTGTCGGTTTATCCTTTATCGGGTTAAATGGTACCTGTCTGAAGCAAGGTAAAGAAGTGAAACATCTACGAAGTATATTCTAGGACGGTTGGCTCTTTGGCTAAGTTGATGCGAACGCTTCGTAATGACGAGATGCCGGGTTCGATCCCAGCTGCGGGCCATGCGCCTTGAGTTAGTTTCGACAGTGGTATCAAGAAAGCCGACCGTCGAGGAAGCAAGGCAAACTACTGGACGTAAATTTGCCTAGAAAAACCACACAACAGCCAGGGGCTGTTGGGGTTGGTTCTGCAACGTCCTGTAAACGATACGCAACTAACCTTTGGAATATTCTAGGAGGACAGGTGAATAGACTGAAGAATGCAGCCAGAACAATTACCAGCATAGGCGCTATACAAAAAGATCTGAAGTGAAAGCAAGAGGCCGCCCTGTGAACACATGGACTGATGACCTTAAAGAGCTTTTATATCTACATGGAATGATATAACCATTGCTGCCCATCGAACAATGGATAGCAGTCTGTTCCTTCCGACAACGCTAAACGGCAGAAGAAGTGGAAACTGATGAAGATGATGACTATATATTCTCAGTTCTGCTGTATTATCCTGAAGCTAAGTTAATGAGCTAGCAATTAAGTCGAACTTTTACACTGTAGCTGTGAATATACGGACACAAATGTCGCTTTTAATGTACACACAAGTAATTAAAGCAAGTGAATGGGTGGAGTAGGGCGTTTCGGAACGGCGTGATTTATGTGACAATTTGTTCAAGACTGGTTAGATACGCCGAGTAATGACCCCAGAGTCGATTGCAGCAGCTGCTAAAGGACTCGCACAGGAACACCGCCGATTGACTGAGAGACTTGATGGACAGACACGCATTCCTCACTATACTCGATGTAATGTGCTCATCTAGGGGCATGTATTGTTTACATTGCTTTCAGACGAACAGTGAGTTGAAACGACACAGCATGAACGAATATTGAGTTCTTTGCTTTTATTCGTTGAATCGCCAGTTATCGCAAACATACATTCATGCTTCCTCGTGCTCGACTTGCTTGGCTGAATCTAGCGACCTGGACGGACTTCCCACACACTACAGGAATTTATCAGCGCCTCTCGAACCATCCATCTATACTTCATGGACTCTGATATCTGACATTACGACGTATGGAAAAACATTCAGTCCTCCTATTGAAATATAAAGTTCACTTGACAAATCATTTATTCTTCTCAGGCGTTCATTCACGCGTCCTCTCTCAGTCAGGGCAGAACTTCAACTGTCTTACTTCAGTCTCTCGGTTCACGTCTTCCGTTCACGTCTCATGCTTTGCTTGTGTCTCTCACTTCGTTTACCATGAGACACACGAGACTCACTTCTTCTCCCGTTTTTTTCTCTTCTCTCACGGGTCCTCCGACCTTTTTCTCCCCATCGGGAACTCTCTGGGGTTTCCCCGGGAATTCACAACATTACAATCTCCCCCTCCCTTCTAGTAAAAAAAATTTAACCTTAAAATTTTTTTTTCTATTACTTTATCTTTAGGTTATAATTTTAAAGGTTTGGGAATACTTTAATGTAATGATGTGGATTACCTTATAATCATTTTGGTTTTTAATGGTTACTTCCCTTTTGATAGGTTTTACATTATTTCCCTTTGTCACATTACCAGTTATAAGTACCAATAAGTACCAAGTGGCTTAATGGGAAACAACCATTCAGGCACTCTCTTCCAAGTGCGGTAGTCCATATAGGCTCTGCGTATTAACCCCATGCCATCCCACAGTCTGTATAAAACAGAACAACAATTCTGGTACTCTCTTTCAAGTACTGAAGTCCATATCGGCTATGGAACAGAAATGTAGAAAACCCGCAAAGTCCCACCCTCACCGTTGGACTCATGGCTACTGTCACTGGTTTACGTTTCAATTAGAAACATATGTTTCCCTATTTAGGGTTTCGAACTCAATCCCTTGGATTATGCGGCGTAAATTACCCATTACCTTTCCGAAAAAGTATTGTTATTCCCTTTCTATATCAAAGTAATTACCCTATTACATGTTATACAACCTATATTTTCACCAATAAATTTATCTAAACAACATATGTAATCATTATTAAACCTTATTTCAACATGCTGTAACATCTTCATTGTCATAATCATCATCATTATTGTCATCATCATCATCGTTATCATCATCATCATCATCATCATCATCCTTGTTGTTGTCGTTATCAGCATTATTGTCATCATATTCATCTCATCGTCTCATTCTTCTCCTCATTATAGTCACCATTGTCACACGTATATTGTTGCTTACTTACAAATGTAACATATATAAAAATCATCAGTTAAGCTATGTTTACATATTTCATTCATTCAACCATACTCTTTCCTGTAATTCAGGATTTTCCCAGGTAATACATACAATACCAAATTGAATCTATGTTTATATTCTGGACATTACGTCGGGTAGATGGTTTTCAATGCCCTTAATGTGTTCTATTTTGAACTGAAATTGGGATAATAATAACGCCCATCTGTATACTCTTGCGTTATTTGTTGCATCCATTGTTAACAATTTTGTCAGGCCTAAGTTATCAGTCAGAATAATGAATTCCTTTCCTATCAAGAATTTTTGGAATTTTTTAAGGCTGACAACAAGAGCGAGAGCCTCTTTTTCAAAAGTACTGTATTTCTGTTGGGTGGAATTAAGTTTCTGTGAAAGATATAGAACCGGAAGAAGAGTACCGGAATGCCTTTGAGCCAACATCGCGGCTATGGTATGACCACTAGCGTCAGTTTGTAGGTAGAAAGTTTTAGATGGGTCCGGTTGTCTTAGTATTGGTGGAGTAGCAAATGAAGACTTGATTTTTTGTATGATTTTGTCATGAGTTTCTGTCCAATCCTTTTTTCTAAACTGGTCTTTTTTCAAAAGTTCCGATAGAGGGGCTGTTAGTTCTGCTAACTTAGGGATGAATTTGCCGTAATAATTTACAAGTCCTAATAGTGCCTGTAGTTGTTTCTTGGTCTTTGGTCTTTCAATTTTTAAAATTTTAGAAACAATTGTCTCGTCAGTCTGAATACTACCCTGGAACACTGTATGTCCTAAAAACTGGATTTGTGTGAAACAAAACTCTGATTTCGCTGGATTAACAGTCAGATTTGCCTTTTGAATGTTGCTGAACACTTCTTTCAAGGTGTCTATGTGTTCAGGCAAAGTTTTTGTGTGTATGCAAATATCATCCATGTATGCTGTTACATTATTAATACCTGTTAATATCTTTCTTATGAGTTTTGTGATATTTTTTGCTGCGTTTATCAACCCAAATGGTAAACGTAACCACTGTTTTAACCCGAGTGGGGTTTGGAAGCTAGTATACCTGCTGGCTTTCTGTGTCAATGGAATTTGCCAGTACCCTTTACAAAGATCTAATTTCGTAAAGAATTTTGAATTGTATAAATTCTGGATTATGTCCTCTGTTGAAGGAATGGGTTCTGATTCCAAATGAGTGATAGCATTTAGTTTCCTGTAATCTACACATAATCTCAAACTGCCATCTTTCTTTTTTACAATTACCATTGGTGAGCTGTATTCTGACGTTGAGTCTTCGATTATGCCGTCTGCTTGTAATTGTTTCAGTTCCTCTACGACTTTTTCAGTATAATGAATAGGAATAGCATAGTTTCTGGCTTTCACTGGAATGGTTGAGTTCAACTGGATGTCGAAATGAATTATATCGGTTTTCCCAGGTTTGTTGGTAAAAATAGTTTTATATTTTTCGATTACCCCCTCGATTTTTTCTTTATCTCCCGTTGGCAACTCAGGGTTTATCTTTACAGACCTCCAGTTGATCTCATCCTTCACTGACGGTGTTGGTAATTCGTCATTAATAGCGTCAGTTATTTGTTCATTGATCATGTTACAAGCATTGACATTTTCTACCATATCATCACTAATATTTCTTGTAAAATACCTTTTCATCATGTTAACATGAAAAATTTTCAATTTCCCTTTATAATCAATCTCATAATCAACATTTGACACTTTTCTTACTACAGTGTAAGGGCCACGCCATTCGATATATAATTCAACTGAATCTTTTGGTAGAAATATAAGCACTTCTTGACCGGGTTCGAAGGTCATCAGTTTAGAACTCCTATTTGCAAACATTCGCTGCGTATGTTGCGTGGGCATCTGCCTTTTTGTACTTCTATGTTACTAATACATCGTTATGAAACACTATAATGGGTGGTTTCTAATTATTGTTATACCAGATACATGATAATTAATTCCGTGCTAATGTATATAGACACAATTAAAACTGTTTAATTAAAGTAGATTGGTTAACCTAATATCACCATATATTAAAATAATCTGCTTGCTGTATGTGACTGCTGTTACCGACAAGTTGTATGTATCATCACAGAATGAGGAAAGTGTTTAGAATAAAGCATGTGTAGAAGCAATAGTTTTAGTAGTAGCAATGCAAGTAATGTAACACTTTTGAGAAATTGACAGCTTTTTGATAATCACCAAGACTTGTGAATTGAAGTTTTTCCGACTAGGATAACTAGTCACTAAAAGTTGCACTATTTGAATAGTATAGATAGTACAGAATAACTCTAAGTTCTTTGTCTGAAATGTTGTCAAAATAATCTGCAATATAATTAAAATGAAGTGTAGTATCCACATCCAACTATGTGTGTAATGTGATGTACCATTCTGCTGTTTTTGTACGTGGTGTTTCTTTTGTGAAATGTCATGACACTTTTTTGTTAACATCTCGTATCGATTCCTAGTTTCATGACCCAGCGATTTGCAATATTTTTTACAACAATCACAGAGAATAGGATGTTTCATTTGATACCTGTCTACACTGTGTTTTGTTTCTGTGTTTTGAGTGTTTTCAGTTACCGTTATTTTTGTAACCACACACTTTTTTCTGCTAAGCTTAGATGTCTTTGTAT